AAAAAAAAAAAAAAAAAAAAAAAAAAAAAGCCAATATCTAGAATACAGAAGGATCTTCTGAGAATCAACAACAACAACAAAAAAGCCAATTCCAACACTTTTCATGGGCAAGGATAAGGATACACAACTTACAGAAGAAGAAATTTAAAAATTTAACAAGCATACAAGGAAATGCCCAAACTCGATGGTTATCAGAAAAACATTAATTAAAATGATAAGGCAATATCTCTCTATACCTACTACCCTGGCAAAAATTAGAGAACAGAAAATTGGAGAACAATGTAAAACATTGCTAGGAATGTGGGAACATACGAAACCTCTTTCTCCACAGGAGGGAGTGTTGGATGCTGCAAGCAACATGGAGAGCCATCTGGCACTACCTGAAAAACTGGGGATATGCATAAGCTATTACCCAGCGATTCCTACTCTCAGAGAAATCCACAAGCAAACATGGTCAAGGTTGCTCCTTGCAGCACTGTTTGTTTGAGGGAGAAGTTAGAGGACATCAGTGGAAAAAATGAGTAGATAAAAAATACTGGGTGGGCTCCATGCAGCTGCATTGTCCAAAATAGGAGCCATTAGTCAGATATGGTTAATTATTTTATTTATTTTAAAATTTGTATTTAATTTTACTTGACTTGAATTTAAACTTAAATCAAGTAAAGTTAAATAAAATTAAAAATTCAGTTCTTCAGTCACACTAGCTACATTTTAAGTGCTCAGTAGCCACATGCAGCCAGTGACTACTATTTTGGATAGTACAGATATAAAACAGTTCCATCATCAAAGAAAGTTCTATTCAACAGTGCTGTTGTGGGAAAGTACACAGCAGTTAGGAGAAATGGATTAAAGGTTCGCATAGCAATACAGATCGTTCTTAAAAGCATAGTACCTAAGAAAATAATTTGAAACACAATCAGGTACATTACATGAAATCATTTGTAAGAGTAAAAATGTGCAGAGAAAATAATAATACATATTAACCAAGTTAAATCACTTAAATAAAACATACATATTAACTCAAACTGATGGTTTCATGGAGTTGGAGTAGAGTACAGGGACAAAAGGAAAGAAATGAGCCCACCCATACAGATTTTAGAGCTGAGAGGAATTTTAGATTATCAAGTACATACCCTCATTGTGTTTGTCTTTCTCGGTAAAATTACTATATGAATAAAACGTGATTCCTACACCAAGTAGTATATAGTTCATCTGGGACATGAATTAAATGCCCAAAGACAAGTAATACAAAAATTAAAAGACTTTGATAAGCACCTAAGAAAAAGAGGGATACAGGAATGCAAAGGTGTGAGAGATCAGGAATGATGTGGGGAAGAGGTGATACTGCAGATGGGCCTTGAAGATGGTGGAGGGGAATGAGGAAATGGAACAATAGCAGGCTTGCACGAAGGAATGGTAGTAAAAAACCACGAAGTGGAAGGAATGGTAGAGAATCAGAAATGAGGTCAGCAAAGGAGACTGGACCAAAAAGAGCTGGCGTGGCACAATAGATACCATGTAACCATATTGCATAGTTCCCCTGGGAAAGTCTGGGTTCAGGTTCACCGCCTCAGAGTAATTATTAATGCACCCTTTTCACTCTCAAGGTGTCCCAGTTCAGACTATAAAATATATATATATATATATATATATATATATTATCCTACATATAGAGAGAAGTAGGCTGATAAAATACTGGAGGAGAGGTATTAAGGGCTTCCTGGTTACATACTGATTTGATACATCATATATTTGAATAAGTATTTCTCAGATGTTGTCATTATAAATACAGAAACAAAATTAAAAGGTGCACTTTTGGAGAAATAACTTTTTCTATAATCTTTAGAAGTGATGAGCTGGTCTGTAGGAAAAATAAAATAATTTAAATAAAAAATTTTGTATGTGCTTCAAGATAACGGCCTGACATGAAACACCTCATCAACGTCTCTGTAACAGAGAATTAGGCTCTAATAAAGCCGACTGGAATTTTCACCTAATACTACGAGGTTGTTAGACACTAACACTAAAGTCACTCTAGCTGGAGCAAACCTCACCGTAGGTGGTAGCAAGTTAAAACAGCCACATGTATCCTGTTACATATTTGTAAGAACACAGAGAAAAATTCAATTAGGAAAACTCAATTACAATCAGAGTGTGTTGAATGTTTTGATTACTAAAAATAAGTTGCTAAAAGCACAATTACCTCAATTTTGGTTAAGAGGTCTTGCAGTTCTCCTGATTCATTCATTGACAAAATTTTCTCAGCACCCTATTAACAAGAGAGGGTAGGGGAGAAAGAAAATCCATTTTGTTAGTATTTGAGAAAACAAAGTTCTAGCCAGGAAAGTTTAACTCACAAAATACTGAACAGGGGTTTTCCCTTCAGATCTAAGTAAACTCAGAACCGGGAGGCCAAAGAGGACAGGAAATTTCTCTTTCCTTTCACATACTCTCCCATCTAGTAAGGCTAACTGTGGGCAAAAGGAGGACTGCCAACAGAAGGTGAGCACTGGGAAGTCCATCCATGCCTGTCAGATGAAGTCCAGAGATGGAAGGTTCCAGCACACCCTTCAGAGCTGTTCAGGGAGCCTAAGCCAGCCACCTGGGAAAGGAAGCCTCTGAGCAAATCCCCAGCCTGGGCTGCCTCTGCCCTATTCCAGGCAGTCCTGGACATGCCCTCCTCAAAATCCTTAGAATCCATGTCCTTAAGGACATGCCCTCATTAATGCTATTAAGATAACAGCAGCTAATAATAATGATAATAATAATAAAATTAATAACCACCCACAGTAATTAAGCACATATTAGGAGCTAGGCATCCAACATCATTTAATTTGATGTGCTAGGCTCACTTAATGGTAGAAATTGAGCCTCAGTGAGATTAAATAACAATTGCAAGGTCACCCAGAGAGAAAGCAGAGTGGGAATTTGAACACAGACTGGGGAATTACTCCAGAGTCAATGGAGTAAAACTCTACTTGAAAATGAGAACCTGGGCTTCCCTCATGGCGCAGTGGTTGAGAGTCCACCTGCCCATGCAGGGGACGCAGGTTCGTGCCCCGGTCCGGGAAGATCCCACATACCGCGGAACGGCTGGGCCCGGAGCCTGTGCTCCGCAACGGGAGAGGCCACAACAGTGAGAGGCCCGCGTACCGCAAAAAAAAAAAAAAAAAAAAAAAAACGCAAGAGAGGAGATACAGGGATATATGTATATGTATAGCTGATTCACTTTGTTATAAAGCAGAAACTAACACACCATTCTAATGCAATTATACTTCAATAAAGATGTTTTAAAAAAAAAACTTTACTGTGAAAATGAGAACTGGGATGATGTACGCACTTTCCAACAAACTAATCATGTTTCTTTGAACAACCCCATTTTCCTTTCCTTTCCAGCCTCTTCTTACCTTCTCCCACTCTACTTCTCAACATGCAGACATAGAGGCCATAGAAAGAAGAAGTTATTCTTTCTCTTTGTTTTTCTTTTAAAGAAAACAGACATTTATTTTTCACAGTTCTAGAGGTGGGAAGTCCAAGATTAGGGTGCCAGCATGGTCTGGTTCTTTTTTTTTCTATAACATCTTTATTGAGGTATAATTGCTTTACAGTGGTATGTAAGTTTCTACTGTATAACAAAGTGAATCAGCTATCGGTATACATGTATCCCCTCCCTCTTGCATCTCCCTCTCACCCTCCCTATCTCACCCCCTCTAGGTGGTCACAAAGCACCAAGCTAATCTCTCTGTGTTATGTGGCTGCTTCCCACTAGCTATCTATTTTACATTTGGTAGTGTATATATGTCCATGCCACTCTCTCACTTCGTCCCAGCTTGCCCTTCCCCCACCCCGTGTGCTCAAGTCCATTCTCTACGTCTGCGTCTTTACTCCCATCCTGCCCCTAGGTTCTTCAGAAACTGTTTTTTTTTTAGATGCCATATAAATGTGTTAGCATTTGGTATTTGTTTTTCTCTTTCTGACTTAATTCACTCTGTATTACAGACTCTAGGTCCAACCACCTCACTACAAAAAAATCAATTCCGTTTCTTTTTATGGCTGACTAATATTCCATTGTATATATGTGCCACGTCTTCTTTATCCATTCATCTGTCGATGGACACTTAGGTTGCTTCCATGTGCTGGCTATTGTAAATAGAGCTGCAATGAACATTGTGGTACATGACTCTTTTTGAATTATGGTTTTCTCAGGGTATATGCCCATGAGTGGTAATGCTGGGTCATATGGTAGTTCTATTTTCAGTTTTTTAAGGAACCTCCATACTGTTCTCCATAGTGGCTGTATCAATTTACATTACCACCAACAGTGAAGGAGGGTTCCCTTTTCTCCACACCCTCTCCAGCATTTATTGTTTCTAGATTTTTTGATGATGGCCATTCTGACTGGTGTGAGGTGATACCTCATTGTAGTTTTGATTTGCATTTCTCTAATGATTAGTGATGTTGAGCATCCTTTCATGTGTTTGTTGGCAATCTGTATATCTTCTTTGGAGAAATGTCTATTTAGGTCTTCTGCCCATTTTTGGATTGGATTATTTGTTTCTCTGATATTGAGCAGCATAAGCTGCTTGTATATTTTGGAGATTAATCCTTTGAGAGTTGCTCTGTTTGCAAACATTTTCTCCCATTCTGAGGGTTGTCTTTTCGTCTTGTTTGTGCTTTCCTTTGCTGTGCAAACTTTTAAGTTTCATTAGGTCCCATTTGTTTATTTTTGTTTGTATTTGCATCACTCTAGGAGGCGGGTCAAAAAGGATCTTGCTGTGATTTATGTCATAGAGTGTTCTTCCTAAGTTTTCCTGTAAGAGTTTTATAGTGTCTGGCCTTCCATTTAGGTCTTTAATCCATTTTGAGTTTATTTTTGTGTATGGTGTTAGGGAGTGTTCTAATTTTATTCTTTTACATGTAGCTCTCCAGTTTTCCCAGCACCACTTATTGAAGAGGGTGTCTTTTTTCCATTGTACGTTCTTGCCTCCTTTGTTGTAAATTAGGTGGACTATAGGTGCATGGGTTTATCTCTGGGCTTTCTAACCTGTTCCATTGATCTACATTTCTGTTTTTCTGCCAGTACCATACTGTCTTGATTACTGTAGCTTGGTAGTATAGTCTGAAGTCTGGGAGCCTGATTACTCCAGCTCTGTTTTTCTTTCTCAAGAATTGCTTTGGCTATTCGGGGTCTTTTATGTTTCCATACAAATTGTGAAATTTTTTTTTCTTGTTCTGTGAAAAATGCCACTGGTAGTCTGATAGGGATTGCATTGAATCTGTAGATTGCTTTGGGTAGTAGAGTCATTTTCACAGTGTTGCTTCTTCCAATCCAAGAACATGGTACATCTCTCCATCTGTTGTATCATCTTTAATTTCTTTCATCAGTGTCTCATAATTTTCTGCATACAGGATTTTTGTCTCCTTAGGTAGATTTATTCCTAGGTATTTTATTCTTTTTGTTGCAATGGTAAATTGGAGTGTTTCCTTAATTTCTCTTTCATATTTTTCATCATTAGTGTATAGGAATGCAAGAGTTTCTCTGCATTAATTATGTATCCTGCTACTTTACTAAATTCATTGATTAGCTCTAGTAGTTTTCTGGTAGCATCTTTAGGATACTCTATGTATAGTATCATGTCATCTGCAAACAGTGACAGTTTTACTTCTTTTCTGATATGGATTCCTTCTCTTTCTTTTTCTTTTCTGATTGCTGTGGCTAAAAGTTCCAAAACTACACTGAATAATAGTGGTGAGAGTGGACAACCTTGTCTTTTTCCTGATCTTAGTGGAAATGGTTTCAGTTTTTCACCATTGAGAACGATGTTGGCCTTTATTACATTGAGGTAAGTTCCCTCTATGCCTACTTTCTGGAGGGTTTTTATTATAAATGGGTGTTGAATTTTGTTGAAAGCTTTTTCTGCATCTATTGAGATGATCATATGGTTTTTCTCCTTCAATTTGTTAATATGGTGTATCACATTGATTGATTTGCATATATTGAAGAATCCTTGCATTCCTGGGATAAACCTCACTTAATCATGGTGTATAATCCTTTTAATGTGCTGTTGGAATCTATTTCCTAGTATTCTGTTGAGGATTTTTGCTTCTATGTTCATCAGTGACATTGGGCTCTAGTATTCTTTCTTTCTGTCATCTTTGTCTGGTTTTGGTATCAGAGTGATGGTGGCCTCATAGAATGAATTTGGGAGTGTTCCTCCCTCTACTATATTTTGGAAGAGTTTGAGAAGGATAGGTGTTAGCTCTTCTCTAAATGTTTGATAGAATTTTCCTGTGAAGCCATCTGGTCCAGGGCTTTTGTTTGTTGGAAGATTTTTAATCACAGTTTCAATTTCAGTGCTTGTGATTGTTCTGTTTATATTTTCTATTTCTTCCTGGTTCAGCCTCGGAAAGTTGTGCTTGTCTAAGAATTTGTCCATTTCTTCCAGATTGTCCATTTCATTAGCATATAGTTGCTTGTAGTAATCTCATGATCCTTTGTATTTCTGCAGTGTCACTTGGTACCTTTTCTTTTTCATTCCTAATTCTATTGATTTGAGTCTTCTCATTTATTTTCTTGATGAGTCTGGCTAATGGTTTATCAATTTTGTTTATCTTCTCAAAGAACCAGCTTTTAGCTTTATTGATCTTTGCTATCGTTTCCTTCATTCCTTTTTCATTTATTTCTGATCTGATCTTTATGATATCTTTCCTTCTGCTAACTTAGGGTTTTTTTAATTCTTCTTTCTCTAATTACTTTAGGTTTAAGGTTAGGTGACTTATTTGAGATTTTTCTTGTTTCTTGATGTAGGATTGTATTACTGTGAACTTCCCTCTTAGAACTGTTTTTGCTGCATCCCATAGGTTTTGGGTCATCGTGTTTTCATTGTCATTTGTTTGCAGGTATTTTTTGATTTCCTCTTTGATTTCTTCAGTGACCTCTTTGTTCTTTAGTAGTGTATTGTTTAGCCTCCATGTATTTCTATTCTTTACAGATTTTTTTCCTGTAATTGATATCTAGTCTTATAGTATTGTGGACAGAAAACATACTGGATACGATTTCAATTTTCTTAAATATACCAAGGCTTGATTTGTGCCCCAGATGTGATCTATCCTGGAGACTGTTCCATGAGCACTTGAGAAGAAGGTGTATTCTGTTGTTTTTGGATGGAATGTCCTATAAATATCAATTAAGTCCATCTTGTTTAATGTGTCATTTAAACCTTGTGTTTCCTTATTTATTTTCATTTTGGATGATCTGTCCAGTGATGA